GGAGGTCCCTCCTTACCTGAAGTGGATGCAAGATTCGCAGTTGCATATGAACTACCTATATGTGCAAAGGAAGTGGTGTAGTTGGCTCCTGCATTCTGATGTCCATCTGGAAGGCTAGAGCTGGGTGAATCTTTCTTATTCATAAGCTGTCCAAACCTCTCCAATTCTATTCTCACTGCTGCTACTGCAACGGATTCCCAATCAGTTTGGGAAAGAGGGGCTGAAGAGTCTCCTGTAGTGGCTACATTTGCATTTCCCTTCTTGTTTCTTATCCGAGCATGCATAAGATTTCGATGAAGCTTCCAACAAGTGTCCTTGGTATGCTTAGACTTCTTGCAATAATCACACACCAAGTCCTTATCTTCCCTTCTAGTCTCACTACTTCCCATGTCTCCATTCGGCTTAGGTTTTGTTGTACCAACCATAGCCGACTGGTCAATCCCAGGCTGTCTCAGCATTACATTCCTCCTACTCTCCTCTCCAGAGACAAAAGCAAAGGCCTGAGAGAGTGTCACACCCTCCCTAGAAAAAATATGTTGCCTAGCAATGTCAAATTCAAGGTTCAGCCCTGCCAAGAACTCAAAAACCCTATTCCTCTCTACCAGTTTGTGACAAGTTGCTGCATCATTTACACTTTCCCATACCATAGTTTCTAAGCGATCTATTTCCTGCCATAGGGTTTTCAGCATGGAGAAATACACAGCAAGAGGTTTTTCTCCCTGTTTCATACTTATCACCTGATTTCTTAACTGATAGGCTCTGACTTCATTTTGCTTCTGAGAGTAGGTTTCAGTCACTCCATCCCAAATCTCCTTAGCAGTATTAGCCTATAGAAATTTTTTTGCAATATGAGGTAACATAGAATTACACAGCCAAGACATTACCATGTAATTCTCTTGCACCCATTGGGAAGAGTTTGTATCAGGTTTCTTCTCCTCCCCAGTGAGATACCCTAATTTTCCACTGGCACCAATAGCCATCTTAGCTGATTGTGCCCACTCCAAGTAATTTGTACCATCAAGTAATTTGATCCTAGACCTAAAAATATCACTACTACCTCCAACACCTAGTCCCACAGTACCAGTAGATTTCATCTCGGTATTCCAACTCTCCATTTTACTTCAAACAATTCAACAGTAAGAAAAAATAGATTGGAGACCTTCAAAAAACAATTTAATACCACACACACAGAAACCAACCCTTCCRGAAGAAGAAAACCCTAGCTGGAGGGAAATCTTTCTCCTCCCCACGCCTCCCAATAGAGAGAAAAGTGAATCGATCACTCCGGGAGGCCTAGAAAATTTCAGAAACCAAACCGCCCTCTTCAGAAAAT